GAAAAATATTTAAATAATAAAAAAAAAATTCTTGTAACAAAAAAAAAAAAAAGTCTTAACATTTTTTTCAAAATTTTTGTACTGTTTTTGTTTCCTTTTTTTAGGGTTGCTATTTTCAGCTAAGAAATTTGATACAAGTCAAGGAAAAGACAACTATAAGTCATAAAATTTTCACGAAAATAAAAAGACTTGATGCCTAATTTATTCACAAACTTCATCAGACAATATATTAAAAAACTGATTTATTATTTACGCTAGACAAATTTGGTTAAACTTTTTCATTTAATTTAGTTTTTACGAAGGTTTATGCAAAGTTGATGCTGTTATTCCCAATACTTAGACAAGAAAATAAATTGCTAATTATTATTAAATATATTATTTGAGATTTTAAACAGAACAAGATTTTAATGTGAGAAAAGTTCTCTCTCGACTTATTCTAAACTGGTTATACTGAGTCAATGCTCACCTTTTATTACGTTGAAATTATTCAATTGCATAATTTTGTAATTACGAAAGAAGTTAAAAAAATAATTGCATTGCTTTTGTGGTCATTGTTACGAAAACAGTTCCCTCGGGACATTATTAACACTCGTTCACAATGTCAATTAATGATTGTGAAATAAGCAACTCAATCGTTTGACAATAAAATTTTCTTTCATTTAAAAATAAAAAAAAACATTTTACAAAAAAATAGCAATAGTTCTCGCGCTTACTTGCGTATCAATACATTTAAACATTTAAATGTATTTACAAAACATTAAAAAACATAAATTTAAAAATTGTTTATAGTTCTATCGTGGATTTTAAAGTATTACTTAATGATAAAAGTCATAAACAAATTTTACATTAAAAGATCCTTTTTATTTTCATTAAACAATAATCTTTTTCTTTTTCCTTGATTTGTATTGATTTGATTTTACATAGCTGAAATAACTAATACCCTAAAAAACAAGAAAAAATAAATAAATGAAATATAGGTAAATTTTTGTTTTATATAAATTATACTTTATTTTTTTAATTTTAAAGCACAAACAGATTTCTGTTATTTACTTTATAATTATACTTTATATTTACTTGCCGCAAAAATGCATTGCTTGCATTTTTGTTTAACTTTGTTTTGACACGAATTCTTGAAATGCATAATAATAAAACGTGGTCAGTTAGTCAGAAAAATTTATTCTATGCGTGGACAAACAAGGCGTGTGACCGCACGCTTTTCCTGGGAAAGCCTGCTTATACATGATAAGCCTGCTTATACATGATAAACTGTTTCTAAATCAATCTAAACTGACTGCATTTGTTCACTCATTTTGTTGAATCTTTTCAGTATATTACCCCATAATGTGGCCATTATGACTGTTTCAAGATTTAAATGCAGTGCATTAACTATTTCATTTCAATTTTTGTTTAAACTAATACTTGCATCAGATTTTGCTGACCACCTGGTATCTGATAGTTTTTTAAGTGACACATTTTCTGTTTTAATTAAATTGTTCTGAAGTATTTCCCATCTATATGTAGAAGCACTGAAATATTTATAGATATTTTGAAGCACAATAAAAATTTAGAAGCATTTCTACAACAGTCCTGTAAAGTGTAATTATATTTTATGATTGTTAGCAATCAATGTAAAGTGTAATTATAGTTAATGATTGATTTGCGTTAATTGTAAATAGTTCTATATAATATAAAGTCATAGTTGTAAATACCAAAAGAATATGATTGTATATAAATTATGTTGAATTGCATTAGAAAATATGAGGCGTTTAACGCTAAACTTATAAAGTCGATTTTTGATGTGAAACTACAAGCTATTTGGCTAAAATGTTGACTAAAATTGATTTAAAGTAAATTCCCGAGTTTAGTGGAAACGATCAACAATCAGTTGCAGAATGGCTAGAAAAAGTGAAACTAGTATGCAAACTAATTGGTGTAACGATCTGGCGAGCGTTGTTCCCCTCCCTCTCACAAATGGTGCATTTGCAGTATATCAACAGTTAGCAGAAAGTGATAAAGAAGATTTTGACCAGATAAAAGAGGCATTGCTAAAAGCTTTTGCTGTTGATGCATTTACAGCTTACAAGCAATTTGTTACAAGAAAATTAAAGCATGGAGAGGCAGTTGATGTTTATATGGCGGAACTGTAGAGATTATCTACGCTGATTGGTGGGCTACCAGACAGAGCTATTGCATGTGCCTTTGTTTCTGGGCTTTCTGAAAAAGTTTGACGGATACTGAGATCAAGTCCTCGTATGGATGATTTACTACTAAACAAATACTTGCGCGAGCAAGAGCACTCATGATTGAAGAACGGAACGATGAAACGAATGAAAATTTTGCTGCTGCTGCTGCAACAAAAAGTGGTGCTGAGTTGAGGTTGCTTGAAGATCAAACACAACCAGTTTGTTATGAATGTAGACTCTCTAATCATTTTGCAAGAGATTGTCATCTACTAAGACATAGCAATCGAAGCAAGTTGGGTCAGAGACGGGAGACTAGCGATGTTTTTGTGTTACTCGTGTCAAGAGAAAGGACACATATCAAGAATGTTCTTTGTGCAAAAAGATGACAGGAAATCTTCCAGTTTGTTCCAATCTTCCAGAAATCTTCCAGGAGCCGGATTTGACGGATTTCTACTGACAGATCCGGCCGGAATCGGAGCCGGAGCCGGATTTCAAAACAAAACTACAGGAGCCAAAATCCTGTACATCCCTACTTGGTGTTGAGCATGGTCAACAATGTGGACTATTCAGAATACCAAGTGATTGCTGTTTTCTGTTAAACTTCATTGTTGTTATTTAAAAAGTTTTATAGCAATTTCTATATATAAATTAATAGAAATTTTAAAGAAATTCTATAGGCCATATGTTTTAAAAGTTTATAGTAATTCTATTGAACTTTTTTTCCGGGATTTTGTCACTCCGCCACTGTAGTGGATCATTGTGTCTATTTCTGGTTCTTTCGAATATTTTCTTAGCTGAGTTTCAATGCCTTTTAGTAATTGTTGTTTATGTGCCCTGCCACCAGCGGACGTAGACTGAATAATTTTATCAATAAATTGCCAGAGTAATGATGATGATGATGTAGAAAAATTATTAAGCCCGGCTTATTTTGGTGGATTTTCTTCAGTTTTGTCAATCTTCTGTTTAGCATGCTCAGATTGACTTCAATCTTGTTTTTTCAGCTGTCAGTGTTGCCTATAATGAGGAGAATTTAGTTTTAAATTGTAAGTCAACCAGCCTCGTCAGTGTATAAAGAGGTTTCTCTTTGCAATGCTTTTAAAACGCTCATCCAATCACTTGATTAGGGTTGACATCATAGTCTTTATACCTGCATCATTGTAGAATATCGTGTGTCTTCCCTTCAGAATTTTTTGTTGCGTTGTTGTTTGAAATTAGACTAAGCTTATTAAATTATAAAGAAATATAAATACAAATACCAACCCAAATATGAGGTTCATAAAATATAGAATTACAAAAAAATTTGATTTTTATAAATAAAATATTAGGTATACATGTAAACACGGGCAAAAAAAATGTAATAAATATTTGACAAAATTCAAAACTCCCGCTAAAATTATGTCGGATTTGCTAAATTTTTGCCAGAGCCGGATTTTTGCCGGATTTGTAAAAATGGACGAATTTTGGCCGGAGCCGAAATCCGGTACAGCCCTAATATATATATATACATATATATATATATATATATATATATATATATATATATATATATATATATATATATATATATATATATATATATATATATATATATGTATATATATATATATATATATATATATATATATATATATATATATATATATATATATATATATATATATATATATATATATATATATATATATATATATATATATATATATATATATATAAAGAGAGAGAGCAATTATAAATTAGTAGAAAATCACTTAACAAAAATTTATATATATATATATATATATATATATATTGTATATACATATATGTTTTAATTATTTGTTAAAAAATACAATTAAGTATTTCTACAAATTAATATTGAAATTCTTTATTATATCTAACATTTCGTGATCCTTCAGTTTTTAATTTAAAACTTTTAACATTTTTAAATTTTTTATTTATGAAATTTTTTTATTTATCCATCTACATTTAATTTCTCAGGTTTTCCATCTGCCATTTTTAATACTTTTATTAAATTTTTATTCTAATATTAACATTAACATTAGTACTAATATTTAGACATTCTTTATTTATCTATTTATCTATCTCTTTTTATTCAACTATTTTCTACTTCGTACTAAATCTATGTTGTTGCTGTCATTATTTACTAAGTTTTTGTTGCTGTTACAGTCTTTATTTATGAAATTCCCCTTCTATTACAATTGTTGTCATTATTGTTGTTGTTATTATTATTATTATTATTGCTATTATTATTATTATTATTATTATTCTTATTATTATTATTATTATTATTATTATTATTATTATTATTATTATTATTACTATTATTATAGCTCCTTACTTATCAAATTTTCTATTGAATAAGTAATGCTTCTAATGAATAAATGGATAGCTAGTGTGAAAACCCATAGAAAATGATTATCTTTTTCAAAAACAAAATATTTCAAGTTTTAACACTAAAATAAACTACACTTATTATGAAAAATAAAAACTTTTTTTTACACTTATTATGCAAAATAAAAAGTTAAAATATTAACATAAACAAATGTTGTTTTAACCTCTTAAGTTCCTTGTTCAAAAATAAAGGATAAATTTTAAGGTGTTAGTATGAAATAAATACTTCACTTGTAATTGTTTTTTTATTGCATCAATAATTAGAGAATTAATATTTTCAGTTGAGCTTGTTACTATTATTTCTTTCTTTACTTTGTTATTATTGTTTTTTTCTTTATTTTGTTCTTATTATTTCTTAATTATGTGTGTTTTCCTTTAATGTTTATATATTTTTTTTCTTTTGATGTTTATTTTTTTTTGTTCTAGCAATAATTCAGATGTTGCTCTCAATGTAAACATCACTACAACAACCCAATCACCAAATACTACTCAGTCTACACCAAAACCTATTGAAACTGCAGCAGAAAAAGAAACACATGGGTCAATGACAATCTTTTTTGTGTTAACTGTATTAGGTAGCAGATCTTTATTGTTATTATTAAAAAAAAAATTTCTTTGATTTTTTCATTATTATATTGTTATCTATTTAAAATGGTTTGTGTGGTCAAGGTTCATGTTTTAAAGTTGTAGAGTTTAGAGAGGGTTTTAACCACAACTAAAGCCTTCTCGACTGCAGTTGACTGTAGAGTTAAATCATTTTTAAAAAATCCAATAATTCAAAATTCTCAACACACATTCATTTTATCAACTCAAAAAAAAAAAAATGTAAATACATACAAATGTAAACACAAAATGTTAATTAAATAAAAAATCTAATTTATTTTAAATCAAAATATTTTACGGAACTCCTAACTTAAGTTTTCCTCATTTTTAACCAAAGTATTTATGATGCTTGGTATGTAGATTTTGAGATAGATTAAGATTTTTTTATTTATTATATGACAAAGATTAATAATAATATAATCTTTTTCATATAATATATAAAAAAATAAATAACTGTTTCAACATGTATTTGTATTAATATTATAAGTAAAGAAAAATAAATAACAAGTTATTATTTTAGATTTGTCAATTGTACATTTTAGGTGTTGATGTTATCATCTGGCCTTTTAGCTCATAAAAGAATCCTTTTGTACTAAATGCAAACCTTAAAAGGATCCCAAACCTCCGAGACATGTTGTGTTTATATTAAAGAGAATAATAAAAAAAAATGCTGATTACATGTTTATTTATATAATCGATCTCTTGCGCAAACAATAAAAAGACAATGATGTCATGTGCTAAAACTCTTAGGAATAAAATGCGCTTGAATAAATTATCAAATCTGTAGATTGCAGCATATATTATGCTGACCTACTATAAAATTTTAGGCCTACAATAAAATAGAAAAGACAAGCTTCAACTAAAATAAAAAAGTTAGTTTTTTTTGGTATTCATTTATTCTTTTAATTTAATCAAAAAAATATAACCCAAACATTTTTTTTATTATTATTCTCTTTAACATGAACACAACATGTCTCGGAGGTTTGAAAACCTTTTAAGAGTTTGTTCAAACTCTTTATAACTTTTTTTATTTCAACATCTTTACTTCTAACAAGACTGCAAGCAACCACTATTAGAGTTGGAAGTAACTGAAAGAGAACAAATATATTATTATATGAATCAGGAAAGCAAGATGAAGGAAGCAAATTCCAAAGAACTGATGTTCGAGGAAAAAAAACTAGACGAGTAAAGTTTTTGTAATATCATCAACGAACAGTTACACCTTATATACGAATATCTGGAAGATAGTTAATGTAAATTAAAAAGAGTATAGGGCAAGGATAGAATTTTGAGGAATCCCTGAAGTTACAGGATATGAAGAAGAGTGCTGCCCATCAAAGATAACTTTTATACTACAATTAGAAAGGAGGGATTCAATAATCTTGAAGATGTTACACCATAATCTGATACACGGTAAGAAGAAAGCTTATGGAGAAGACCAGCATGCCAAACTTTATTAAAAGCTTTAGAAATGTCAAGCGCTATAGCCTTAACCTCTCCACTTTTATCTAATGTATGATAAAACCTATTGGTTGTTACTGTTAGCAAATCAGTTATAGAACCAGAAGATCAAAATCCATGTTGACAATCAGAAAGTAAGTTATTAGATTCATAATGAGAGATTAAGTGTTTGTTAAAGATTCAAAAACCTTGCTTATAATAGGAAGACTAATGGGAAGGTAGTTAGACAAGTCAGTTTGCTCTCCAGACTTTTTCAAAATTATAATAAGAGATGCTGCTTTTTCTAGCATGCCAGAAAACAATAGTTTTGAAAGTATATACAACACTTCTGCAAGACTACAACAGGTATGTTGTCCGGACTGCCAGCTGTAGAAGAGTCAAAGCAGGAAATTGCTTTAGATACAAAAGGTGGAGTAATACAAATTTCAAGCAATAGATCAATCTGTTTGTTGGCAATATCAGAATGCAACTTGAGGAATTAGGAGATGATATTAGTGAAAAGCTCTTAACAAACAATTCAGCTTTGTCTATAGGTGAGGTAGCAAAATCTGAACCGTACGAGAGAGGTGGAAAAACCAATTTGCCCTTATTATTGATACTGTTAAAGGTTCTCCAGAACCTTTTTTTTTATTGAGTTGAAATACAAGATTTCATGACCTGAGAATAGCGGGCTTTAGCTTTAATCAAAACCTTTGTACAATGGTTTTTAGCTATAGTAAACAGACGTCTGTTTTCTGAAGAATTGTTTTGTTGATAGATATGGAAGTAATGGTTTTGATAGCGAATTGCAGCAGCACAATGTGAGGTAAACCAAGTAGAAGAGTGAGGCTTGACTTATAATCATCAAGAGGGAATAAAGGATTCAATGCCAGCCTGAATCCAAGAAGTTAAGACGAAAGATTTCTAGCCAAGGTCTATCACAAAGAAAATCAAACCGTGATCAGAAGCACCTAAGGATGAGTGTAGAGAATCTGAGCACTGACTAGAATCAGAAACAATACATAAGTGCCTGCATAGTCGTTGACACTAGAGCCATGTCATTTAGTGTGATGAGCATTAAAATCATCAAAAACAACAAGATTGGCTCAAGAGAAGGGGCAGAATTAACATTGAAAAGAGATGAAGGAGAGCAATATAGAACAAAGATTAAGGAGATAAAGTTAGGGATGGCAAAAATCCCTGATATTTTCAATCCTGGGATTTTAGAATTATAAAAGTTGTCCCCAGGATATCTTGGGATTAAATTAAAAAAATAGCATATGTAGAAAGTGAAGAATAAGAAGAACTAATGTTTTACGTACTTATCAAATACTTAAAATGAATAATTTAATTATGGTATAAATAATGTTCATCATTCATTAATTAACATAAGTAATTTAAGTTGTAAAATAATACCTTAAAATGATAACTCAGCCTAAATAAAAATAATAACTAAAAATAATATGAACATGCATGAATATACAGGATATTTATTTTTGAAAGTATTATCCTAAAAAATTAAAGTGTCAATCATTTCATTGCTTATTCGTATTTAATATTTTGAACATAAAAACTGAGAATGCTCTTTCGGATTCCAAACTTGTTGGTCGCATAGGTTTATTTTTTTATTTTTTCTAAAGGTGATCATATCTTAAGCTCCTAGTTTAAAATAACAATATTTTAAAAATTTAATTTATAAATTTTTAAATTTTTTAAGATATAAATTTTAAAAGTTATTTTTAACCTTTATAGTTTGTGTTCATATTGCTACTAATCTTTTTTCCATCACTTCATTTAATTTGTTCATTTTAATTGTTTTGACATTAATTTACTCAAGTCTGCTGCTGTTATTATTATCATCTGCTGAGTTTCAACACTTTATCAGGTTTATTATAGTTTTAATTTATTTTGGGTGCTTGTATTTGGTAGAAAAACTTCTGGGATTTTTTATGAAGTAACCTGTCCATGAAGATATAAAAATTAAATAGTGACTCAAACAATTGTAATAATTTAATAATAATTAATTTATTAATAATTTAATTTCCGATTTCAGATTGTTGCTCTTTAATTTTTGTCAAATGCATTTTAGTCAAAAGAAATTAAAGTTGTATCTTGTCAACAAAGTGCGACCACAGTTGCTTTATTGGGAGTGAAAGTACTACTAAATCAGATATCATTCTACATTCTTTCTTGTTGAATCTTAAATGAATCATCGATGTTTTAATTCAAAACTAAATCAAGAAGTGCTTTTTTAACACAAAAATTTTTAATATTAACTTCATAAATCAGTCTAGCATATGCTGCCTCATTGGTTTTACCACCCATGATTAAATGAATGATCTTTCTAAACTCAATTTTTACGTACTTTTGTAAATAATTTTCATTTTTGTTCGGAGACATTTTAAACATTTTCACAATTTTCCTGTCCTTTTTGTTATAGCCAATAATTTGGTATCTAGTTTTAACTTCAGCTGTTTCATTAACAACGAAGTTAATTTGTAGAACAAATTAACTTAGAATTTAGAAAAAATCTTACCCGAATCATTTGAATCTCAAATATTACCTTCCTCTTTAAAATCTCTTCCTCTTTAAAAGCTATTTAAAATAATGATAACAAGAGTTTATTTAACTTATGTATTTTGATTCAGAGTACCACAAGGCTTGAGACTATTCTTGATTAACTTCAATTAAATGAATGTTAAGTAATCTTTTGTAGTTAATAAACCTTCTGTATTTTGATAACTTCATTAATTAAACCAATGTTAAAAATTTATTTGTAAATCACGCACAAATTTGGTTTAAATTGAGTGGACATTAAAATAAAATTAAAATTACGCAAATATTAGAATGAATTAGAAAATTCAAAATGGAATTAGAATGAATTAGAAAATTTAAAATAAAAAGGTATTTCTTCTATTAAGGTGTTTGATCTTCCAATTAGCAAGTGCTAAAATTCTGTTAATTTTTAATAATATATTAGTTTTAATATTATACTATAATTACATTTTTTATGTTAAATTATAAAAAATATTTAGGATTAAATGTATCAAAAATGTATATATAGTATAATGTTGCAGATAATGTTTTTAGTTTGCATTTTTGATAAAATACAAAAAGAGGGAGAATAAAAAGAAAATATTGCAAAGAGGATAAACAGCTTCATAACCAAACAGCTGCAATTCCAAAGCCTATATTTACATTTTATGATGTACAAATTTTTTAATTACAAATTAATCTTAAAGTTTTTGTATTTTTCCTTTTTTTATAACAAACCCAAAATCCCGGGAAATTTTGGAGACTTATCCCGGAATTTTGGGATGAACTAAATTACGGAATTCCAGGACTTCAGGATCCCAGGATTGCCATCCCTATATAGAGTGAAGTGGTGCTAAATGAAAGCACATAAAAGAATAGTTTGTGGATTCAAACCTAGTTTCCGACAAATGGGTGAATTCTTACAAATGAAAATGCCCAGGCCAAGCATGTGACTATTGGAGTCTTTACAAATTAAAGAAAAATAACCATCAACACTAAGATCACAAGATGAGATAGCCAAACTCACAAAGAGCTAGTAGCTCTGGTGAACTTTGTAAGAGATAAGACTCAACAGAAAAAAAGTTACTTTGAAGACCACAATTATTAGTGAAGGATAAGTTTAGAGAACTTGGTAATGACAATGGTTTTTTGTGTTTTATAGACTTTAGTACTTTAGTCATTTTAAAATTTGTTAAAGAACTTGACTCAAAGTATAGATAGTACTCAGTACACTATTTAATAGCCCAAGCAATTGCTTCATTACTACTAATAAACCCGAAGCTGTTATAAAGCATGGATGGTGTCCCAGTTTGTACCAAAAGTACAAACAAGGATACCAACCATGTACAACATATTACTGTTAGTACTCTGATATTTTGCAGCTGTTGATGGAATCAGCCTCACTGAGAGCTACTACAGAGTTAGAGAAACCCCACTACCAGCCGGCCTCAAAACCATAAAACTGAGTTTTAGAGCTGTACCCGCATTAGGAGATAAAAGAATGAGTTGCCAAGTCATAAAAACAGAGTCGCAAGTAAAACCCATGCATTGAGTCAAGAAGATCCACCATTCAACATCCTAAATTGGAAACAATGCACAGTGGACCAATATTGTCTAAAAGTGGCAAAACTTATTATGGGTTAATTATAGACATGATTCATGTTTATTGAGGTTTTTAGGCCAGGAATTTAATTTTCGTGCTTTGTTTTAATTTCATGCCCTCACAAGTGGTTATTTTAGAGGGTGTCTAGGGTGGTCATGAGGTTTTTCGATAGTTTTTAAATTAGATAGGACATGTTGTATATCTTAATATAGGTAACTGCTGTCAGATAATTCAATTATCTGACAGCAGTTACCTATATTAAGATATACAACATGTCTTATCTAATTTAAAAACTATCGAAAAACCTCATGACCACCTTAGACACCCTCTAAAATAACCATAATTCTGGGCATATTTGATCTTTAGTGTTCATGTTCATCCAAATGGCCATTTTTGTAGTGATCAAGGGTGGTTCTGAGATGTCCTAATGTTTTTCAATTAAATGGGACATGTTGTATGTCTAAATATATGTAATTGCGGTCAGGGAGTTTAAAACTGGGCATATCTGGTCTTCAAGAGTGGTCAGCTGATCATTTAAGGGGTGGTCAAGGGTGATCCTGGAATATCCCAATGTTTTTTCAATTAGATGGTACATGTTATATGTACCATCTAATTATGTATATAATATAGGTAATTGATATTAGGAAAATCTAATCTGGACATATTTTGTCTCCAGAAGTGGTTATAATCACACAGATTGTTGTGGTCATGAATTGTCAAGATATTTTCGTGATTTTTAGTAAATTTAGGTACTTAATTTCTTTGACATTGAGAATATAAACAAATATCGTTCAATAAAGTTGAACTTTATTAACATATTTTTTTATATATATAAGAATCTAGGTGATAACATACATCATATATTAGTACATCAAGAGCTTTGCTTTGTCAGGTTATTTAGAATCTTTTACTTTTCCCTGACTCCTTCTTATTCTGGACACCTAAGTAACGTAGCTGTAAAGCATTTTCATATAAGATCATAATTTGTTTGAGGAGAATTTCATTGTGTAGTGCTCTCTGTTGTTTTAGTCTAAAACATTAATTTTAGGTGCATGGAGTGACTATTTTTCACAATTAAATTACTGTTTTTCCATTTTATGGGCGTTATTTGAATGAGCAAACACATTTGACACATTTAAAGTACAATTTTGTAGATGAAAACAGCATTTTAGATAAGTTATTTAGGTGACCTTAAAACTAAAAGTACTAGATAATGTTGTTTTTTTGCATTCAACACAATGAGAAATTAAAAAATTTCTTTTCTTGTAAACAAGCTAATTTTAACTCTAAACTAAACTCTTCTTTTTACGTAAGTAATGTAAATAATAAAAATAGTTCTACATATTTTTGCATACATAAATACAAATAATAAATATTTTCTTCAGTGATGGATCCATTTTTTGGTGTTTGAGTTAATTTCCAGACATGGAGCAAACTCCAAACTATTGTATGTTTATACTTATGTCAAATAATGTTGCTTTGCAAAAAATGGTTGGAGGCTAGAAACAAATAAGCACCAAAATTTCGCTATTGCTATAGGAGGGCAGATAATTATTGTTCATTTTTTCATTAAAAGTAAATGATAATTGGGTGCCTTCTCAAATGGATCTCAAAAACAGTCTGGAGGTTGATCTCCGACACTAATTTTGACCTTTTTTTTAATTTTATAATTAATAATAACAAATAATAGTTGTAATAATTGTAAATAATTAATAATAATAAATAATGATTGTAATAATTGTGTAGTAATACTACTAATAGTAAATAAATAAGAATAATATTAATAACTGTGTCACATTGTGTTAACAATTGTTTATAATCATTACTTATTTTTTTAAGTTATTTTTGTAAATTTATATACACATATATCAAATAACATTATTTAGGAATCTGTATTATCTCCATTAATATGCTTATAAAAACAAATTTTATATATCTACCTGAAAGTGTTGCTGTCGTGTTTCTGGGTGCTCTGGTTGGTGGATGCATAAAACTTTTGAAAACATACAACTTGGGAAATTGGCAGGTTGGTTACCTTTCATTAATTTTAATTCCTTTTTTTACTTTTCAATTTTTTATTTTTTGTATTTCTAATTTTATATCTAGAAGGAGGAAGTTTTTGATCCAACTCTATTTTTCTTAGTATTGCTACCTCCTATAATATTTGAGAGTGGATATAATTTACATAAGGTAATTTTTGTTGTATTCTTTTAAATTATTTGTGCATGTGGCATCAGGGTTTATTGTTAAGATCAAGTTGTCTTTGCTACAATTTAAAATCTTATTTAAATAAAAAATTTCCATTTAAATAAAAGGTTTTTCAAATGTGTTTCTTGAAGTTTTCCATTTATTTTCTTGAAGTTTTCCATTTATCTTCTTGAAGTTTTCCATTTATCTTCTTGAAGTTTTCCATTTATTTTCTTGAAGTTTTCCATTTTTCTTTTTGAAGTTTTCCATTTAATAAAAGTTTATTTTCAATAATAATACCAGTGTTTTTATAATTTTAGGGAAATTTTTTTGCAAATCTTGGTTCAATTGTTGTGTTTGCTGTGTTTGGCACAATTATATCAGCTATCACTATTGGTTGTGGAGTTTTTATGTTGGGAAAGGTTAGTTATTGTTTGTTTTTTTTTAAATAATGTTATAAAAATTTTAAGTGTTTATTTTTATAAGGTTAATAACATCATCATTACTAAACTTTTTCAATTTTTTTAAAGCAATTTCATTCAATTTTACTTCAAAATAAACTTTTAAAAAAATAGTTATACCTTTTTGAGGATGGTTTATGTGTACTAAAGATATTTTTGGGTGCAAAAATATGTTATTGGAATGGAAAGAAAGCTGGGTGCAAAACAATAATATTTTAAGAGTTCAAAACTTTTCAAGGCTTCAAAACTTGAAGTCAATAAATATGAAAAGCAAATAAAAAGAATTTAATGGCGTCAAAAATCACGTAGTGCTTATGCGTCGCGCAGTTTTTATTCATCACAAGGCCTGTATATACATATATATGTGTGTGTATATACATACATATGTGTGTGAGTGTATATGTATATATATATATATATATATATATATATATATATATATATATATATATATATATATATATATATATATGTATATATATATATATATATATATATATATATATATATATATATATATATATATATATATATATATATATATATATATATATATATATATATATATGTGTATATATATATATATATATATATATATATATATATATATATATATATATATATATATATATATATAAATATATATATATAAATATATATATATATATATAAATATATATATATATATATATATATATTACTATTTAACAATCTTCTTTCCCAATAGCATTTTTATTAATCAATATTAAATACTTATACACTCAACTTACAAATTTGTTTTTTCCTTGATTACAAATATTATATAACAAAAACATATAAAAAGTATAGATTTTAAACTTAAAATGGGTAAAATAAACTTATATTAAACTAAATTAATGTCTTTTTTTTTTTTAAAAAAAAAAAAAAATCTTATGTAAACAACTGTTTCTTTCAAGGTTACTATCTTAATTTATATGGGTATATACTTGTTTTCATGCGATTCTGAACATAAAGTACCATGACATAATATTAAATATGCGCGCATGAAATTATCGGAACTGTAAAGGCGTCTATTCTTTAAATTAAAAGTATGAAGTGTTTTTTAAAAGTAATGAATTAAAGCCCTTCAATAAAGAATAAGAAATGCTTTTTAAAGTATTGACCTAAAATTCATACAATTAAGAATATGAAATCTTCTTTAAAATAATAGCCTAAAATCTTTAAATTAAAAATTTGAATTTAATTGCAATCTGACCTTCAGATCTCTAAAATACGTAATAGAGTTTATTTCCATAAAACTTTTTTCTGCAATATTTGGGAATCTAATTTTAAGAATCAAAATTAGGTTGTTTGGGATATAAAAATTAATCTATGTAGCAATGATGCAGGAAGTTTGTTTATCAGTTTATTTAAGAGCTTCACTTTTACATTTTAAATCAATCAATCTATGTAGCAATGATGTAGGATGATTGTTTATCAGTTTGTTTAAGAGCTTTACTTTTACATTTTATTCAGCTTTTATAGGTTGTTGCTACTTTAGTCTTTTCTGAAATTCAAAAAGATTCATATCAAGATTACCTAGGTGACTATACTCAACTAATATTTAGCTAGTCTTTGCAGGATCTTGTTTGTCAAGGTTATGTTTCATAAGTTATTTTGTTGAATTATAGGCTTTAAAGAGGGTTGTGCATGATTATTACAGCTTCAGAATAATCAGAAATATTGGAAAAGTCAGGAACATATTCAGCAATAGAAGGAAACTGTGTTTATTTTTAAAATACAAAACTATTTGTTTTCTGAACAATGTTGCTTTTTTTAAACCACTTTTATGCAATATTATGCAAATAATTTATTGACACCCATAAAATAAAAACTTTTAACTCAAGCTTTTTTTTTCATAGTAAATTTAATAAATATCTATAATTTACCCCATGAATAGACTATATTTCAATAATTTATTATAAGACAATATTGCAATAATTTTTCACATGAAAAAACATCTTAAGCTTAGTAGCAAAATGTAAATATTAGAATTAAAAAGAGTAGACATTATTATAAAATAATGGGAAAAAACTTTACAAGAAAACTCAATACTAAAGTTGTATTGTAAGAAAAAAAAACCTTATCAAACAAAAACTAAATGAAATTTCTTGATTGTAATAATTCAATAATTTTAATTCTATCCAAATCTATTAACTTTTATGAATTTTGATCCCATTTCAAAAAAATATATTAAAATATATCTCTATTTTCCTTTGTGGAACATCCACAGATATTTATAGATAAACATTATTAATAATAATATCACATCTTCCTCTCATGCAGATAGTTTTATATAAATAACATCACAAGTTAAATTGCAAAATAAACTGAAAAAATAATACAAAACTGCAATAAGTTCTATTCCAGATTCACAAAAAATGGCAACAAAAATGTTGCCATAAAGATATTGAACTGACAGAAGAACATTGTGGATCAGATTATTTCAAAAAACAGTAGGCAGCCCTGAACTTTTGTACCAGGCTTTAACAACAATTCGCCAAAAACTTTAAAAATTTCAAAAACAGCCGGTTCAATTGAAACAAAATAAAAAGAACAAGTTTACATTTTAAAACACTCAAATTTTATTCTTAAAATATGTGGAAAAAAATATTTAAAAGAATAATAGAATCATTCAAAATTTATAATTAAAGGGTTTTTTGTTGAATAATAATTCTTCATTTTATTAAATACATTATCTTACATTTCATTTTATAAAATACATTACTTTTGATAAACTGCTCAAATATTTTCATAATTTAAATAGTTGAAAAGCTCAAGTAGTTGAAAAATAATTTTTTTTTTTTTTTTTTTGATCGCCTACCCATAAGTTTTTATTTCAATGTAGTTTTTATAATTTTTACAAATTATCTTAGATATTAGTGCACAAATATATAGGGACGATTGTTAATTACATCATTTATTAAATGAATCATTGTTTAACATAGTTTCATGCTTTGGCAGGAATGGCGGGCTGTAGCCCGCTGCCCACTTCCATACCTTTGCAGATCAGTTTACACAGGCAAAATAAAGCCTGTGCATAATATAAATTTTTAGTAAAAATAAAGTTAAATATTTTTGTAAAACTGTTTGTTTTACTTTTACTAACAAAACTATTTCATTCAAGATATGCTAAAAAAATTGTGAAAATAATTTTGAATATTCCGATGTAAAAATAAAAAATATAAATCGAACAAGTTATTTCAAACATCTATAATTGTTCCATATTATTCTGTGTTATGTTAAAAGATAAATAATTAGTATGTTAAAAAGCAGGTAAAATATGTGTTGCAAAAGAATTTAACATAATAGTCCGGGTTTTCGGCAATTTGTTAACTTATACAATATGATTGCTAGATGATAAAGACAATTTGTGTAAAATGTGTAAAATGTGCGATTATACAAATCATGCATTTTGCTTAATTGATTGACAAATTGTCATACTTTAAAGTTGTTTAAAGTAATTCATATTTCCATGTATACTTCTGCATTAACCTACTGGTTTTTTTTTGAAAAAGGCGGCAAGGTATTCAGTTTTTTTTTTTTTTTTTGTTTTTTTGTTTTTGTTATTCACCTCGTCAAAGGCGAAAAGGCCACTACAGACGAGGAGGCTACTTAATAGTGGTTATAACCCTCTCTCAACTCTATAACTCCGAAACACGAACCTTGACGAACAAGGCCGCTGCACGGAGAAACAAGTTGAGCCCGGTACTACCAAGGACGTGGTGGGGATCAAACTCGGAACCTCTCGCTTATGAAGCGAGTGATTTACTACTACACCACTACCGCATAGTTTATCAATCGAAAAACTATTATCTCAACTTTACAAGTATCCAACTATTCAAAGTTTAATTACCAAAGTCTTTTTAAATGATTTGTCACTCTCCTACTTGTTAATAAAGCAATTGAAGAAATTTTTATATACAATGACATTTTCATTCACAACGAAGAAGAGAAATGAATGAACTTTTATAATATTATAATTAAGATTCATTTTTATAAAACAACTACTTGTTTTATTAAAATGAATTTTATGTTTTTTATATATTGTTGTTTTATTAGAACAATTGATTATATTTTAACATTTGAATATTGTTTTTTATTTATTATTTAATTACTAATTTATTAAATAAAAATTAAATATAAAAAATTATTAAAAAAAAAATGTTTGTTTTTTTTCCAAACTGTTTTTCTGTCTTTTTATTGCTATAAAAACATCTATTAAAGTTAAAATTTTTACTATACTTGGCATAAAGAATCAACAAAATACTTTTCAGAATAAAAAAAAATCTCATTAAAAAATAATGATTTTAATTTTTCAAAAAAGCCAACGCAAGACTATCTAAGGATGCGGTCCGCGTAGCCCACAAAGAAAGGTTGAGACTGGCTATTTATATGCACTCATTTACTCCTGCCAAAGCCTGTAGTTTCATATATATATATATATATATATATATATATATATATATATATATATATATATATATATATATATATATATATATATATATATATATACATACATACATACATACATACATACATACATACATACATACATACATACATACATACATACATACATACATGCATACATACATACATACATACATACATACATACATACATACATACATACATACATACATGTATATATATATATATATATATATATATATATATATATATATATATATATATATATATATATATATATATATATATATATATATATGTATATGTATGTATATATATATGTATATATATAAAATATATAATATGTAATATATATATATATATATATATATATATATATATATATATATATATATTAATGTATATATATATTAATGTATATATATATAAAATATATAGTTTATATATATATATATATATATAAAATATATAGTGTGTATATATATATATAAATATATATATATATA